CAACGCCACTTAAAAACGCATTTTATGTGTTACTGATTAATGATTAGGTATGTATATCCAACCATAATGGTTATACCTAGCTACGAGGCGATCCTGTTTCTCACCATCAACACAAATAACTAGAAAATATTGGAAAAGTAATTGAAATGAATCCATTTCCGCTTTAAGAAACTATTGAAGTCTTGCCAAGACATGGATATACCGATGACTGTTTAGAGTTTAGACGATAATGGCGCCGACCTATATTATTTTATTGAGTCGCCGGGACAGTTTTATTGCAATATAAAGGGTAACCATGTAAAATCGCCTTGTTTTGTACAAGACTATTGATTTTATAATCAAATTTACATTGTATCTTAAACTTAGTTGCAACCATTGCAATGTAAGGTACGTGTTAAAGCCTTGTTACATCCAAGATATAAGTAAGGAATGTTGTAATAATGCTTAATTGAATTTTCCGTTGCCTTTAAAAAATTCTACATTGCCCAGAAACAGTGTTTTAAAACTTTATTACGTAAATATTGGCAACATCGTTAACGTCTACTTATATTTTCGCATATTATTAATATTTTTAAATAACTAAGTGCGTTAATACTTATTATGTAATAAAGATTATTTTTTGGTATAGAAGATCATGTAGATCTTTTGTTATAAGGAGAACTAATATATTCTTTATGAATTTTATCATAATTTAATCTAAATAAAATAAGCAAAAAACAGTGCTTTATTAAAATTTGATATGTCAGGCTTGAAATACTGACTACACCTAAATAATACCTAAATTAAATAATTAATTAATTTAAAGGTACCTAAAACCATTTTCTAAGCACTTAATTACTAAAAATGCAGTTTTTTGCTTCTTGCATACTGTAATAATAGAATAAAGCAATTTAGGTAAATATTCAATGACTTTTTTAAAAAATCCTAGTTTAAAATTTGTATTTATGTGGAGGTGAAGATCTCTGAATGTTCATTAAATTATTTCGGTTATAACTTCAGAACCATTTGTGGGAATTAATTTATTTTTTTTATACACTATATTTAACTGAACGCCAAGGGACATTTCGATTCCAAAATTCGAGGATCGTATTGAGAAAATTTCTATTCTTTTGTGTCTCCTCTCAAAAACATATGTATATATTTTTTTTCTTCTATTTCACACATCATATTAAAAGCATATGAGCTAGAAGACAGAAAACAGATAGATAGATGACAGAAAACATTTTTTGTCACATTTTCTTCAACTTTTGAATTAATGAAATTCTGTTAACACACATTTTAATCACCTTTTGAATATTATTTTAGTAATGGGAACAGTTCGAGCCAATATATTCGAATTTCCGTTATTTATTAATACCACATTATAACACCAATTTTATACCATTTATTAAAAACCCCAAATTTAAAGAATACATTTTTCTAATATCTCATGCGATATTCGATTTTTAGCCACACGTTTCTTGCCTTCCGAAATAATGAAATCTTTCTAATATATTTTTTCGCATTTTGATTGGTAATATGATTTTACTAAATTCAAAATCGTTTACTAAAGTGGCACTTTACTACATGAAGATATCACTTTACTATACAGTAAAGTGTCACTGTTAATTAAAAACAATTTGACAGAAAATTTTGTATATTTCCTATGCCTTCTCGTATTTTTCCATGGATTTTAACGAAAGTTAGCTCGAAAATGCTTCTCGAGCGGCATTTAAAATATCTTCAGAACAAATTTCTAAATTGTTTTCAGTAGCGAGGCCCATTTTTATAATGAATATAATAACTTGGGATCAATTCAACTCACAAAAATGAAACTTAACTGTCCGTAGCATTCTGTTCTATCAAGAAGCATTCAAATAAACGATATACAGGGTGTTTCAGGAGGAGATGTACATACATACTTCAGTCAATATTAAGCAAAAAATTTTCTATGAACTTAGACCTCCAAACGCTACGTTCAGGATAAACAGGATATCAAATTAAAAAAAAAATTATTACATTTTCTTTAATAACTCGACTACTTTGAGTTAAATTCATGAAATTTTGTATGCGCAGGTTTCTTAGGACGGGAAATTCAAATTTTATGGACGATTGGCTTTATCTCCCAGAAGGCGCCACAAGCGACCATTAGCATTCTTTTAAATCGCTTCAACTTTTTTGTGCCACAGTGTATGTCATTTCGGAATAGAAATACATTTTCCCCTATCTTTTCTACTTAAGAAATGTACACCTTACTGAAGTCTCTAAGAGCAGCCGTTTCCGTTAAAAACTCATCTAAAGATGATGATGCATGCAAATTATGTATGAGAGTGCTAATTATGGAAACCTGACAACAATAACTTTCGATTCGCTCTAATACATAGTTTGCATGCATCATCATCTTTAGATGAGATTTTAACGGAAACGGCTGCTCCTAGAGTCTTCAATAAGGTGTACATTTCTTAAGTAGAAAAGATAGGGGGAAAATGTTTTTCTATTTCAAAATGACATACACAGTGACACAAAAAAGTTGAAGTGATTTAAAACTATCCTGATGGTACAAAATTTGAATTTCCCGTCCCAAGAATCCTCCGCATACAAAATTTCAAGAATTTAACTCAAAGCAGTCGAGAGATATTAAAGAAAATGTAATAAATTTTTTAAAATTTGACATCCTGTATATTCTAAACGAAGCGTTTCCAGACAGAATAACATACTGAAGTATGTACATCTTCTCCTGAAACACCCAGTATGTAAATAAATTAAACCGTGTCAGATTACTAGGTTACGAAAATACTACACAGGTAGCTACTATGAAATTTTATTATTTCTAACTGTAATGCTTTTATATCTATCACTATTTGCTTATAATTACCTACTAACATAAAATACGAAAAAATAGTAAAAAACAAATCTCGTAAGAAAAGCAGTTTTACTCGCTCGTACTCAAAAACTATATTCGTTAAGTAAAACTTTGTTTTTCTAAACTTGTTCTTTAATATACTATTTTAAATCAATTTCTCAATATTTCTTTAGCAATGTTGATAATAATTTAATGTTCAGGTATTTGATTTTGGTATTAATAATGCCACGGATTCTTATTACAATTATATACATAAAATTAAAAGATTCTAGATTCTAACTGAAAACAAATATATTTACTAGCGATATCATAAAATTACCCCTGTATATTTTTCCGAAGTTTTTTTTATTTTTAAATATTTAATTAGAATCGGTGTTAATTTCTGCATTAGATTAATGTATCAGGAATCATGTAATATTTTCTTGCTACCAATGAGATCGGTGAAATCTCTATTACAATTGTTAAGGAAAACTAACAGTTATTTATTACTTCTTAAAAAATATAAGGAAAGGGTTGCTTTAAGTACCTTTTTCTTCGTTAAAGTAGAAAATTAACGTTTTAAATTCCGTCAAATTGGAAACAGACGTTATAAGTTTTCAATTGTTTTTATGCAAAATAATATACAGGGTGTGCCATTTAACACTCCCGCTGCCAATATCTCCGAAATGAAGTAATTTATTTTAGTTATGGAAATTGGGGTTGTTAGGTGCTTCGAATAGCTTCAAATTGTAGTTAGAATTGTTAGTTTAAATCTTTCTGTACAGATGATGTGGCGATACTAAAAATTTGTTTGCTCCTTGGAACGTGGAAATAGAGTCCATCTGAAAGATCGTTAAATTTTGAGAAATTTTTGTAATATAAAGTTTTTCCCTATATTTACTTGTTTTCGAGATATGTCGACTTCAATATGCAATGTATGATATAACAGGAAATTCTATTATTTTATGTATATTTTGTCTCAAATAAAATAATAGATTTTCCTGTTATATCATACATTGCATATTGAAGTCGACATATTTCGAAAACAAGTAAATATAGGGAAAAACTTTATATTATAAAAATTACTCAAAATTTAACGATCTTTCAGATGGACTGTATTTCCACGTTCCAGGGAACAAAATATTTTTTAGTATCGCTACGCCATCTATACAGAAAGATTTAAACTAACAATTCTAACTAAAATTTGAAGCTATTCGAGGGACCTAACAACCCCAATTTCCAGAACTAAAATAAATTTCTTCATTTCGGAGATATTGGCAGCGGGAGTGTTAAATGGCACACCCTGTATAAGGGAAACTATTTCGATGTGGCAGGTGAAAAAATATCCCCATTAAGATTTGTAAAACCAGCGATAGTGTAATAGAAAGAGCTTCAATACTAAACTATGCATTTAACACAAACTTGTTAACTGATACTTTTTTGATAAAATAATATTGAAAAGCTGGTTAAAAAGTGTAAGTGAAAAGCTGAGGAAAGAGCAAGAAAAAATCAAATGCATGGTTTTTCAGGGTATTATTCGAAAGAGTAAAAAAATACTGCCTACTAGTATTTTGCAATTCTAAGTTCAAGAATCTGTTGTATAAGGTGTATACCAAAAATAAGTTTATTCTCACTAATGCCTTGGAAGCTAAGTATAACCAAGTCAATTTCCAATAAGGCAGTAATGGAAAAGAAAGAAAAATGTTATATTAGACAAGTACTATTAATACTATAAATTTCTAAAACATAAAAATATGCCTACGATGCCGTCGAAATGATAAATTTCCAATCATAGCTCTTTCTCCACTTTAACAACCTAATTTTATAGTATATAGTTATTATAGTTTTATAGTATGTTAATTTAGAACCAAACATATCCTTAAATATCACACTCTTTATTATTACTTTTTATTTATTTATAAATTAAACATTGTTTCCTACAATGCGCCTAAATTTTTTTGGTAAGAACCTTGTGTAGAACAAGTGTGTATAATTGTTTTTCTGAAAAGTGAAGAATTCAGTATATTTTTAAATTTCTAATTATTACATCGTTTTAAACTTTCCACAAAACAACACATGAAAATTCCTACATTTTTTAAAGCCTACAAATGTGAACCAAATGTTGTTGGGGGTGGATTAAGGAGATAAAAAACACTCTGTATATATCTAAGGGACTTACCTTCCTGCGGCCACAGCAGAGCATGTTGCGCGTGCGTGACCGGCCGGATGTGATCTTCGAGCGCGCCAATTTCCGCCACTGCATACCAGATCAGCTCTGGGATGTCGCCCTGAAAAATAACACCCGTATTAATTATTTCGCGAGACGCGCCAGGCGCATTAAACAATCCCGATGATTGATGGCCGGCCGAAAGACCATATTGTTGATTAAAACGGAGCTCTTCGACCCTCTTTTGTCCCGCAGAATTAATCTCCGGACGTGTGTCCGTGCGACGGACCCATTTGTCAGGGGCGCGTTTCATTTTTGATAATCCGCGACCGCGGCGTCCCCGCAAGCGCAGCGACGCCGCCGGGAAAGGCCGGTCCGGGAACAGTTCGAACGTCCCGTCGTGGTCCTGTCTTTTCCGGGCTTTAGGGGAGATGATATTGAAGCAACATTTATTCTTTTGGGCTCGAACGACTCGTTCGATACTCCACTAATTTCATATACAGGGTGTGCCATTTAACATTCCCGCTGCCAATATCTCCGAAATGAATAAATTTATTTTAGTTCCGGAAATTCGGGTTGTTATGTCCCTCGAATAGCTTCAAATTGTAGTTAAAACTGTTAGTTCAAATCTTTCTGTATAGATGACGTGACGATACTAAAAAAATTTTTGATCCCTGAAACGTGGAAACGCAGCCCATCTGAAAGATTGTGACATTTTGAATAAGTTTGGTAATATAAAGTTTTTCCCTATATTTACTTGTTTTCGAGATATGTCGACTTTAATATGCAATGTATGATATGACAGGAAAATCTATTATTTTATCTAAATCACACCTGGACAAAATACTCCTTTAAAATATTGTTTTAATGACTTTATTCAGACCACGTACTAACTAACAAACAATAAATTATAAAAAAAACAAATGATTAACTACAGAAGAAAATTGTACAATGGTCAACTTATAGTTAATTTGAAAGACGCAAACTGATAAAACTTAATTATTGGAAAACTAATATGTATCATCTGTCATTGTTTTATTTTAAACAAATGACATGAGCCACCTATGACTGCATTTTTTATTAATTTGTTAAAATACGATTCGTCGCTGCCCCATATAAGATTTACCATTGTACAATTTTTTTTCTGTAGTTGATCATTCGTTTTTTATATAATTTATTGTTTGTTAGTTAATATGTGATTTGAATAAAGCCATTATAACAATATTTTAAAAGAGTATTTTGTCTCGGTGTGATTTAAATAAAGTAATAGATTTCCCTATTACATCATACATTGCATATTGAAGTCGACATATCTCGAAAACAAGTAAATATAGGAAAAAACTTTATATTACCAAAATTACTCATAATTTAACAAACTTTCAGATGGACTGTATTTCCACGTTCCGGGGATTAAAAAAATGTTTAGTATCGCTACGCCATCTATACAGAAAGATTTGAACTAACAATTCTAACTACAATTTGAAGCTATTCGAGGGACCTAACAACCCCAATTTCTGAAACTAAAATAAATTTCTTCAATTCGGAAATATTGGCAGCGGTAGTGTTAAATGACACACCCTGTATATGGCGTTGACAAAAAAAAATTTTTTTCGAATAACACAATCGCCTTGTAAGATTTTATTTGGAATGTTCAATATTTCCGTATAGATGTCACTTTAGGACATACCCAGCAAAGTTTTTATCCAACAGTGAAAAATACCTCTTTCTTTGAATTAATCTGGTCATAATTTTGTAGGGGGTCATGCCAAAGCTTATATTTTTTGTCTCAAAGATGAAAAGTTTGTTAAAATTTTTCCTCTTGTAAAATATGTATACCGAATGTCCCAAATTATGTTGGCAATCTCTCAGGTTTATACAGGGGACGTTAAAATAACATGATAAATTCCTATAAAAATTTTCCCTAGAGGGCCCCCCTACGAAGATAAAGGCCCCTAAAGAGCGCCTCTGAAAATCAATTGTTTTTTACTTTTAAAATACTTGTGTAATTTAATTATTTTTTAATTGACCCATGAAAACAATTTGTCCTAATTGGTTATTTGGACGACATGAATCTACGGGTACTTAAATAAAAAATTTTCAAAATCAAAAATTGAATAAAAAGTAAAGTCCAGGTTTAAAAATTTCAAAAATAACAAAAATCCAACCAAAAATTAAACAAAAAAACAACCTCCGAACAAAAAAACCAAGACAAACCAATAATTTAATTAATTAAAAAACGGAAAAAAAATGGTCTGAAAATTAACAAAAGGTTCAAAAAAAATACTTACCTACATTTTTTCCGTAGATCAAGTCTGCCGCGTGCACACATGGTGTGCATCAGCAAGTTAAGCGCTGTTGTCACGTTGTGATGAAACTCCCCAATATCGCTGTATTTTGAAAACTGTTAATCTTACACCCCTATAATATACAAACTTTTTTGTTCATTTATGATTAATCTTACTTCTTACACCCTGTATATATATTCACAATTAAAATATTTACTATCTGTGTAAAACAAATGTTGCATTCGGTAAAACATAACTAGTACTAGTTTTACAGTTTTAAAAGTACAACACTGCTTTTGTTTACGTTCTAATCTCTGACCATCACACTTGTGTGGGACATCGTGTTTATTGTACTATTTATATTTGAGATATTAATACAGAATTACACAGTAAGGAAATTTAAGTTCTACGCAAAAACCTTAAATAAGAAAATCACAGGGATTTAAGTAAAGTGAACGTGGTGGCCAGTGAATTGCAGCATCGTGTCCCCTTCCCATTCATCTGCCTGGCTACAGATCGTTTGGATTTTCTCTTATATTGGCACTGAAGTGCAGTGCTGCTCCATCTTGCATAAAATAGATGTGATTACATAGATTAACTTGTAGATCGTCAATCAATTCCGTCAGAGTATTTTGTAGAAAATGTATATAACCGTTGCCATCGATACGATTTGGTAATCTAATAGGACCAAGCAAAAAGTTACTGATAGAACCAATCCATACGTTTATAAACAAATTCACGCTGAAAATATATTTTTATAACGACATGAGAATTTTCTTCTGCGTAAACATGAAGGTTATGGAGATTATGTTGTATTATGGGTTATGGTTATCCCAGGTGTTATAAAACATAATTCGTTCGTGAAAAGAATTTTCTTGTGGAAGTTCCCTTCCACAATTTCCAGAATTTCTTCTTCTACAATATGTGTTCGATCTTGACAAGGATGTCCGGCACTACCTCTGTTAATTTTAAACTACTTATTTTACTTAAAATTCTACTAATTTAAATGTCAATCTTACAAAAACCCAAATATTTATCCGAATATATCAGTTTTGGGACACTGCATATGAAATTACCATAATTTTAAATTAAATAAACTTTTCACTTGTGCTTAAATTATTTCCGAAAATATTTTCGTGGACACCAATATTTTGAAAATTATTCCGAGTAGGTTCTAGACGATCTAGAATTTTCTTAAAATATTTCGTGACCAAAAAAAAAAGCACTCTTATAGCGATAGTGTAGATAACTGACAGAGGGAGAAAGGTATAGTTTGGGTAGAAAGATTTCTCTGCATAAAACTTTAAAAAAATGCAAAATAGAATTTTGGGATATGCGTCTAGGATACCATGAATCAAAAATAGTTGGCTAGAGTAACGAGAGAAAGAAATTTATTCACTTATGAAAGATTTTGAAAAAAAAAATTTTGAAAAAATACAACAAATGATAAATGACAAAAAGAAAAGAAATTTTCATAACTATATTCTGATGCTGTAGATGCTCTACAATGTTCTATTTTGTATTTTTTTAAATTTATCAACACGATTATTTGGGGAGACGTAGAATTTTTCTTCGATGTTATTTTTTCGATAAACAAAGTCTCTGAACAATACACAAATATAAAAAATCATAGCAAGCTATAACCTTTCAAGTTACTTGTATTTAAAAGGACGTTAACACGAAAAGCCAGACACACTGTATATATTCGATGCCCCATATTTCTGAAATTCAGAGTTTTTCCAAAATTCTATGTACTCTATATAAAGATGTAACTAATTGTTAATTTTATACAATAATGGTCCTTCCTTACCTATTCACATACTTTTCCCGGCAGACCTGGATTGTTTCATTTGAAATGGCCATTAAAGTATGTGTCAAATGTCATCAATAGTCTGAAATCGACATCCTTACAACATTGATTTTAATTTTGGAAATAAGAAAAAATCGAAAGGACCCAGGTCTGAAGAGTAAGGAGGGTGAGGAAGGACAGTAATTAGATTTTTGCCACAAAACTGACGAATTACCACAGCGGATTGTCATGGTGCAAGAACCATAAGTTGTCTCGCCACAACTTTGGTCTCCTTTTGCGAATTTTTCGCGTAACTATTGTAAACGCCTTGATAGTACACATGGTTCACTGTTTCACCTTGAGGCAAGAATTCAAAATACACAATTCCATTAAAAAAAACAGTGAGCATCACTTTGACATTAGATTGAGACTAACGTGCTTTCTTGAGGCGTGGAGATCCTTTGCCAATCCATTGTGATGATTCAACTTTTTTCTCAATGTCGTAGCCCAGCTTTCGTCTCCCGTTATGATCCTTTAAATGAATGTTTCATAGTCATTGGATTGTTCAAGAAGCTGCCGACAAACGTCCAAACTATTTTCTTTCTGTTGGTCGGTCATCAAACGAGGAAAACATTTTGCTGCAACTCGATACAAGTTCAATTTTTCAGTCAAAATTTCAAGGCATGACCCAACTGAGATGCTAACCTCTTCTGCACTTTCTTTGACAGTCAACCGGTACTTTGCACGAACTAGATCTTTGAGTTTCTGGACGTCGGAGTCATCGATTGACTGACGACCACTTTTAAATCGTGAAAACCATTCATAACATTGCGTACGATCCAGAGGATCATCGTAAGCCTTTTTCAAAAATTAAAATTTTTCTGCGAAAGTTTTCTCCAGTTTCAAACAAAATTTATGGTTACAGAGATTATGCGCAATGCAATACTTCCAAACGTATATCACTAAATATCTCCATTAGCGCTTAATTAAAAAAAATCGGTTATTTTCTGAACAGACCTCGT